CGAGCCCCCTACCTCTGCGCTTCTCTTCTGCAGCTTCTCTTGCTCTCAGTGTGCTTTTCTTTCCTTCTAGTTGTAGAATTTACAGTCAGCCAGGCTTCCTGTGGTTCTGGATGATGTCTGTATTGTTTTTCTGAGGTATTAATCAATTGTTGTGAGCGGCATCAACTTCCCGGTGTTTATCTCTGCCGCCATCATAGTTTGTCCCGATATTTATGATTCTTAAGTCTCCTGTTTATTCTTGCAACTCTTTCTTCAGCTGTTTAGCTTCTTATTTGTGGTGTTGATTTCCCTTTTGGTGATTCTAGTTTGTGAAGTGTTTTCTCTGGTGTGAGGATTGCTGTTTTCCTGTCAGAGGATGCAGTGTCTGTTTACCACTCTGCCAGGTTGGACTGTAGGGGAGAGATGGGTCATATGGCCAGAACTGGACACCTATTTTTTCTGGGTAATAGCAGCTACTTGGATGCTGTCCTAAATCTTGGGCTCAAGTGCCTGTGCTCATCGCCTCTGTTGGCTGGAAGAAGGGGGAGAAGGGGAGTGGTTCTCAGTAGACGGAAGTAGAGAGCCTGTCCACATTTCCCCACCAGGTCACGCATGACTGCACCAGAGCTCCTGTTTTCCCATGACAGTCACCCCATCTATAGCTTGGGGTAACTGGCATGGGGTAACACCACATGCTCTCCACACCTTCATAGCTGCTGCCAATTATTGTAGCATTCCTCTGTTTTTAAAAAATATATATTTCAGTTGATTTTAGAGAGAAAGGAAGGGGGAGGGAGAGAGAGATAGAAATATCAATATCTGCCTCCTGCATGTCCCCTGCTGGGGATTGAGCTTGCAACCTGGGCATGAGCCCTGTCAGGGAATCGAACCTGGATCTTCTGGTACATGGGTTGACGCTCATCCACTGAGCCACACAGCCTTCCTCTTTTGAGGTTTCTGGACAGTTATTGCCTTTATTAACCTTGTTCTAATGATAGTATCTCTTCTTGTTTCCAGAGTTACTTTAGAAAAATATATCAATAAGTCTATATCTTTAGTTACTTCTGGGATTTAAGGTGGGAAGGGAAGTCATGTATATCTGCAGTCCATCTTGATCCAATCTCTTGAGCCATTATTTTTGGACAGTTTTTTTGTAACAGCTATTAATTTTGAAACATGTGTTTCACTGAAGTCCATTGAAACCTCTTAAGGACATTAGGTTTTGAGAGAAATTGAACCGTGGAGCTTATTAGTTTGAGTACTAACAGAGCTCCGAAAATTTCCAACTTTTCTTCTCTAAGCCAAGGGCAAGGATGAAGATTTTTATTCTCAACTTTTTTTAAAAAATATGTTTTTTATTGATTTCAGAGAAGGGAGAGAGAGAAATAGAAACATCAGTGATGAGAATCATTGATCAACTGCCTCCTGCACACCCCCACCAGGGACTGAGTCTGCAACCTGGGTATGTGCCCTAACCAGGAATTGAACCGTGACCTCCTGGTTCATAGGTCAACGCTCAACCACTGAGCCACACCAGCCAGGCTCCCCCAAAGCCTTTTTGTTTATATATTCCTGGGAAACCTCGGGATATGAAATAAGGTTTGAATCTAGTAAGTGTAAATTTAGTTTTCATGAAAAAGCTGTTCTGACTTTTTTTTTTTCTTTCCCACTTAGTTTTTCCATGGTTTGGCTTGGATATTGGTGGAACCCTAGTCAAGCTGGTTTATTTTGAACCCAAAGATATCACTGCTGAAGAAGAAGAGGAAGAAGTGGAAAGTCTTAAAAGCATTCGGAAGTACCTGACCTCCAATGTGGCTTATGGGTCCACGGGTATTCGGGATGTGCACCTGGAGCTGAAGGACCTGACTCTGTGTGGACGCAAAGGCAATCTGCACTTTATACGCTTTCCCACTCATGACATGCCTGCTTTTATTCAAATGGGCAGAGATAAAAACTTCTCAAGTCTCCACACTGTCTTTTGTGCCACTGGAGGTGGAGCGTACAAATTTGAGCAAGATTTTCTCACAGTATGCATTTTTTTAGCTTATATACAATTTATGGGAATCTGATTGTTTAAAATAATACCAGTAGCAAGGGGTGGAATCATTTCCATCCCTAATAGAATGTGAATATTCTTTTCAAATTAAGATTAAATACAAATAAGTGATAGGAGTTAGCCATCTAGAGATTTTGTTGTATAGTTTACTTTTTGCACAATTCAGATGAAATGATGAGAACCAGACTACTAAAAACATAGTATTTTTTAATTCTTTTAGTATGAAAAAAATAGTGACACTGTGATAAGCAGAGTAGGCGATTAAATAGAAACAACATCATTAAATATTTTTTCTTTTTTTTAAAGATCTTTTTGATTTTTAGAGAGAGAGGAAGGGAGAAGGAGAGAGAGAAACATTGGCTGCCTCCTGTATACCCCCTTCTGGGAATCGAGCCGGCAACCCAGGCATGTGCCCTAACCAGGCATTGAACTGGCAACCTTTCAGTGCGTGGAATGACATCCAACCAACTGAGCCACACCAGCCAAGACAAGGTCATTAAATCTTGAACATTGAGCCTCGCTGGTGTGGCCCAGTGGTTGAGCATCAGCCTATGAACCTGGAGATTGTAGGCTGGATCCCCAGTAGGGGGTGTGCAGGAGACAGCCAATCAATGATTTGCTCTCATCATTGATGTTTCTATCTCTCTCTTCTTCTCCTTTCCTCTTTGAAATCAATAAAAATATATTTTTTTAAAAGAGTATATACTCTATTAACTAATTTGTATGAAGTTTATAGAACAGGCAAAACTAATCTGTGTTGAAGAAATTTAAACAGTAATTGTCTATTGTGTTGGGAGTCTGGGAAGGGGAGGGGCAAACCGCCTCCCTACCTCCTTCTCTCCTTCTCTCTCTCCCTCTGAAATCAATCAAAATATTTTTTTACAAAGAAAATCTTGGACACTGAGATGGGAAGAATAATTTTAAAAAAGTAATGTCATTTCATGTCATAAAATTGTTTCCAATCTTTTTCCTCTCAAGTTTTTCTTGTCCCCTTAATTGTTTCTTGGCAAGTTTACTTAAAAAAAACCCAAACACCCAGGAATTTACAAATAAGAACAGAAAAAGAAAAAAGCCAAGGAACTCTGTTTCAAAGTGGTGGTTTTCGGCTCTCATAACTAATTGGAGATGGTTTACAGCATAGCCTTCTCTCTCCTCAGATGCCTTCTGCTGTGTTCTGTGCAGCACACTTGTTAACAGGAATCTCTGGACACTAGGGGAGTGGAATTGGGCACTTGATTTTGTTTTCATTCAGTGAACACTGTGTGCAAAACTTTGGGGCTAGGTCCTTTGAAAGTGGATGTGGTTGTAGGTAAGAGAATTGATAAGTGAACTGACCGAGACCCTGATCTTTAGCTTTAACATATCTTCAGTGACCATGTTTTTAATGCCACCGATGAGAATATTATTCTAGAGATTCTGCCGTTACTTATGTCAGCGTACATTTCTTTTTCCCTCTGTGTGTCACTCTGTGATTTATGACCTTGTTCTCTTTCTTTGTCCTCTATCTCCTGACTTTCTCTCATAACTGATCATAATCATATAGAATTGAATTTAAAAAATGAATTTTTAAACAAGGTTTTATATTCTTTGTTTGAATTTCCCTTGGTTGTTGGTTTTCAGTGATTTCTTTTTCACCTGTGAGTAGGGGAAAGTAGCAGAAGGAGGGAAGGTTCCCCTTCTTTGTGGAAGGATCATAACTGATGGGTAAAGGAGAAAACTTCTCTATTTCCGGACCCTGCAGAGATGCCCTTTGGAACATATTTGAAAATCATTCAGGCTGTTAACCAGAGGTTCAGTGTTGTATGGTAACTCCAAGGAGAGCGTGCAAAGTAGATTTTATTGTTGTTTGTTTGTTAATCCTCACCTGAGTATATTTTTTCCATTATTCTTTAGAGAGAGTGGAAGGGAGGGAGGGAGGGAGAGGGAGAAAAAGAAACCTTGATGTGAAAGAGACACGTCGATTGGTTGCCTCCCACATGTGTCCCAACCAGTGCTAGGGATAGAACCTGCAACCCAGGTATGTGCCCTTGATGGGGAATTGAACCTGTGACCCTTCAGTGCATGGGCTGATGCTCTAAAACCACTGAGAAGTACTGGCCAGGGCAAAATAGATATTAAATCTTAGGAATTCTTAGGCTGTTGGGGTTTCTCATTTGTATGTACCAGCACTGTCTTTGTAAAGTATGAAAATGAAATGCTTATAAAATTCTTTTGTTAGGACTGGCTAATACTAGTATTTAATAAGCCACAGTAAAATAGTTTTAAAAAATTTTAGATAGTTTTTTAATTTTTCAATTACAGTTGACGTACATTATATTAGTTTCAGGTGTACACCTGAAATGATTAGACGTTGCATAACTTACTAAGTGATCATCCTGATAAATCTCGCGCCCATCTGACACCACACACAGTTATTAGAATATTAATGACTGTGTTCCCTATGCTGTATGTTACATCACATGACTACTAGTCTTCTGTAACTCCCAATTTGTACTTCTTAATCCTTTCACCTTTTTCACCCATCCCCCAACCTCCCCTTCCTTGTTCATTTATTTTGATTTTTAGATTAAATTGTTGATATGTATTTATTGCCATTTTATTGTCCATTTTTTAAAATCTTTTCTTCTTTTTCTTTTTCTTTTTCTTTTTCTTTCTTTTCTTAAAGAATACCCTTTAACATTTCATGTAATACTGGTTTGGTGGTGATGAACTCCTTTGGCCTTTTCTTGTCCTTCAATTCTAAATGATAGCTTTGCTGAGTAGAGTAATCTTGGTTGTAGGTCCTTGCTTTTTATCACTTTGATTATTTCTTGCCACTCCCTTCTGGCCTGCGAAGTTTTTGTTGAGAAATCAGCTGCCAGTATTATGGGAGCTCCTTTGTAGACAGTGTAGGCAACTAATTGCTTTTCTCTTGCTTTTTTTGAAAATATATTTTTATTGATTTCAGAGAAGAAGGGAGGGGGAGAGAAAGAAAAACAGCAGTGATGAGAGAGAATCATTGATTGGCTGCCTCCTGTGTGACCCACACTGGGGATCGAGCCTGCAACCCAGTCATGTGCCCTGACCTGGTTCATAGTCTGACACTCAAGCACTGAGCCACACTGGGTGGACTCTTGCTGCTTTTAAGAGTCTCTATTTGTCTTCAATCCCTGCTGGTTTTTACAGCCTGAAGTTATGGGGACTTCCTTCCTTGTAATGAAACTTTGGGCAGGGGGAATGGTGTGGGGCTGGAATCCCTTGCGCCGTGGGGGTGGGGGTGAGGGTGGGGGTTGGGGTGGGAAGGAACCTCTGCCGTGGAGATAGCTGTCCCAATTTTTATCCGTTACACATGAGTGTGGGACCAGCCAATTCTGAGTCTCTGCCTTTCTGTCCAGTCTCTCTCTGGCTTCTTCTTTAATTCCCTAGTTGTATGACTTCCATTCAGCCTGATTTCAGGTAGTTATGAATGATGGTTGCTCTGTTAGTTTAGTTGTAATTTTGATATGCTTGTGGGAGGAGGTGAGTACTGCATTTACCTATCACACTATCTTGACAGGTTTGTCAAAGCTTAATCTCAGAAATATTGAGTTTACCCTTTAAAAAAAATGTGAATCAGATTTCCTCACATTGAGTTTGCATGTTGGTGCAAAACTTACATTTAGTAACTTTAGTTAATGAAATGACTTATTCATTGTCATCTATCAGTTAGGCTGGGATTCATTGGGAATAATAGCACAGCGGGGTACTTCAGGATTCTAATAGGTCACCAGTGTAAAATGACAGTGTAAGCCCAGCTGGTGTGGTTTAGTTGGTTGAATGCCCTCCCATGCACCAGGAGGTCACTGGTTTGATTCTCGGGCAGGGCTCATGCCTGGGATTCGGGCTCGATCCCCAGTATGGATTGTGTATGAGGCAGCGGATGGATGTTTCTCTCTCTCTCTCTCTCTCTGTCTCTCTCTCTGTCT